AATGAGTTACTCAAGCATCCTATAAGCTCGGCCTTAAATTGTAATGAAGCACTAAAAACAATAAATGAGAGAGAGAAGAGAAAACTTCTAAGAATATTGTCTAATACGGTAATGGACATAAATACATTGAATAGTAGTGGATGATTCCAAAATTAAGATCCATTTACAATTTTAGAAATAATTATACGATAACACATAGCTGTCAGTACTTATAAAATGTCTTGTTATTTAGTTGCCATAACATCATAGAAGAATGTGGTAACCTTGATACATTGGCTAGACTCTTTAAGTGGAAGGGGGAAAAAAGCTTACAGTAATTATATGAGTTATTTCCTGAGTTAATTCCTCAAAAGGATGTACTACACTTGATGGCAACCTTTTCTACCAGGCTTCATCCAAAGTAATTTATTTGAAAACCGCTCACAGGGATAGGGCTGTGGGGCACCATTTTAATAACTGGATGCATAATTTGTGCCACCGCATACATACATCATTTCATCGAGCACATGATTATGAAGTCAACTTTGACAGAACAGAATTTCACTGCAACAGGAGAAGTAGATACAGGCATGGACTTAATCTACTCTGGCTTTCACACACTGACTCTGCCTTATTGACATTTTACCTACACTAATCATGTTGGCACAGCACAGACATTCACATTGGGCATTAAACTTTTTAGCTGATAAAAGGAGATCCCACTATTAGAATCTCCTTAGCAGGTGTCCATGGTTTGACACTGATTATCTTGAGCAAGAATGTTCTCTGCCACCCAAAGCTCATCTACAAGCTACATTACTTTGTTATATGCAGGTGATGCAGCTTTTTAAAATGGTACACTGCTAAAAATAGGAAATAGCTGAAGTATTGACTCTGAGTTAAAACATAGAATCATACATCCTTATTTAAACTTTCTGCACTTATAAAGGACAGGGTAAGACTAAAAATGTGAATGCCTGGTTAGTTGACAAAACCACCACCATCCCTGTCTGTGTCTCTCCTCCTTCAAATCTTTCAACAAAATGCAATGATCATGTTTGGCTGCATTTTCATTCCTCGCCTCAACTTTTATATTCACATGAAATTAATGAACATTCCAACTCTGAGTAAAGTGAAGAGACCAGGGGGTGAGAAACTGCTTAGCCACATAGACAAAGCCCATTTATGCCTGAGCTTTGAAACACTTATTTGAATTCTCGTTTACAGATACAGATATTTCTCCTTGACATCCAGTTTATATTTAATTTTTGTTCCAAATGGGATTTGAAGCTGATTGGTTGCGATGGAGTGATTTTCAAAGGTGGACAGGAAAGGGTGGAAGGGAAGAAACATAGGGTCGGCTAATCCAGCGGTCAAATCATTGACCCGTGAGTGATTAAAAGTTGGCGGAGGTTGTGGAAACAAGACTGCCCCTCATGTGATGGCAGCTTCAAGTCTCCTTTGTAGTTTTTGGATGTGAGGCAGTGAGCCAAATGTTCTGTCTAAACTGTTTGGGAACTGCTTTTTAAGTTCGGCACTCTTGGAGAGGTATTATGTGACAAGTTATTGCTTCAGTGCCCTCAAATGGCACAATGGCCTCAACGAATTAGAGCTGAAGTTTGAGCTGTGGGACTTGCAAAAGGAAGTAGTTCTATACGAGTTTTCTGCCGCCATCCATTTCAGTGTCAATGTATTCCTGTCATCCCTCTGTTAGGAAGTACAGGTTGAAAAAGCTCCTCTATCTCTGTTGCTTTTTTACCCAACATACACACGTTCTAGGTTTTAAGTGAAGAATTCAAGGGATGTAAGTCAATTACATCATGTCACAGTAATTTCTTCTTGGCCCAGTCCAATCTTAAATCATCAACTTGTGAAACGAGGCCTATTGTGATTGTGCAGTGGATTGTAAGATATCTGTAATGTGTACCATCCTTACTCTATTAAGGGTCAATTACAGTGGGAAAACATTCATGTAAGGATTCACCATTTTCATGCCTGTCATCTTGGGGCAAAGTTGCCAGATCCAGTGTGTTCCTCATTGAAGTGCCATACACCCCAGTCCTAAGAGGTAACCTCTATAGATAATATGCAGATATTGTAGCACAGAGAGAGAGAGAGAGAGAGAGAGAGGACGAATGGACTTCGTGTTCAGGTGAGGTTTGAAAATCACTGCCTCCCATTAGTTCCTTTTTGGAGACAAACAAAACACATTTGCGTTTTCCAAAGATCTGAGATACCTCTCAGGAAAGGGATAACTTTGTTTAATTCAGTCTTTCCAAATTTATTGGCTATGGGACACTTTGAGAATAGTGCTTAATAATTTTCATTTTTCTTTCAAGGGGAACAAATAGCAGGTGATTTTCCTGTTTATTGCTTTTCTCTAGGGAATACTGCAGAGTGTCAGCCATTTTCCTAACTAACATAGCCCAAAATTGTGCCTCTAAACCCTTTCAGCTTTAGAATCCCACTGGCATTTTAGGAGACTCACAAACATGGTAATAAAAGTTTTAAATTAGAGTTCTAATATATTAAGTTATAAGTAGAGTAAAACTGGTTCTTTGTGTTTTTAGAAGGTCACTTTTTTTCTCAATAGGAATATCTGCAGAGAAGTTCAAATTATAACCACCAATGTGCTTGGTGAACATGAAGTTACAGTAAGGAGAGTTGATGACATGTTCTGGATAGCCGTCAACTGCAGTTACCATGGTCTTTACGGTGTCCTCACTGAAGGGGAGAAATATCCTAGTAACTAGACTTGGATATTTTCCTTCTCTGTTTACCCTTTTCCCTCTCAATTTCTTATTATTATCTTATTGTTTTTCAATAAAATAACAGATGCACATAATTTTCTTTTCTTCTTTTTTTTTTTGAGTTGGAGTCCCACTCTGTCACCCAGACTGGCGTGCAGTGGCCGCTCCCGGCCACCGCAGCCTCAACCTGTTGGGCTCCGGCGATCCTCCCACCTCAGCCTTCCGAGTAGATGGAACTACAGGCGCGCGCTACCACGCCCGGCTAATTTTTGATTTATTATGGAGATGAGGTCTCGCCAAGTTGCCCAGGCGGGTCTCAAACCCTCAGGCTCAGGCAATCCACTCATCTCAGCCTGCCAAAGCGTGCGGGATTACAGGCTGAGCCAGGGAGCCCGGCTTTTATTTTCTATTTTAGAGTTATGGGGTAACATGCGAGGATTTGCTACATAAGTAAATTGCATGCAGGTGAGGTTTGGGCTCCTAGCAAGTCCTCTGTCCCCCTGGTAGTGGACATGGTCCCCAATGGATAATCACGTGCCCCTTTTTTCCTTCTCTCTCCCTCCCACCATTAGCAGTGCTCTTCGTCAATGGTTTCAGTCCTTGTGTTCATGTGCCCGATGTTTAGGGCCTACTTATGAGTGAGAACATGCAGTATTCAGCTTTTTGTTTCTGTGATATTTCACTTAGAATGCTGGGCTCCAGCTGCATCCAAGATGTACGTAATTTTAAAAAGAAAAGTGCTTTAGCACACACAAAAAAACTCTTGCCCCATCTTTCACTTTTCGCCAAGTAGTTTCTATCTTTACAGAAAATTTCTCTGTCATCTTTTGAGTATTTCTTTGGGTAGTCACAGAATACATTATATGCCTATATAAATGATATGCCTATTTCTTAATTAATATACATTATCTATTAACATCTCCTTACTTTTTATAAGGATTGTTTCTTTCCCCTTATATTTTGTATCCTTCAGGATACAATTCTGAAATTTCAGGCATGACTTTATGAACCGGAATAGATTAGTGGGCAGAGTCCTTTTACTGAGGCATAAGTTGCCTACAATATAATTCACTTTTTATGTAAACAATTCAGTGAATTTTGATAAATCTATGTAACTATATAACCACACACCATTACTTTCAAGATATAAAACAGTTCCATCACCCTCAAAAATTCCCCTATGCCTCTTCTCCTCTCCCCCGCCCAGTCTCTGGAAACCACTGATCTGTTTCTTTACTTGACAGTTTTGGCTTTTTTAGAATGTGGTGTAAATTGAATCATGCAGTACATAGTCTCTTGTGTCTGGCTTCTTTTACTTAGCATAATGTTTTTGAAACTCATCCCTATTGTATATATTAGTACTTATTGCTGGATAGACGTTCCTTGTATAGATATACAGTTGTCCCTCGGTATCTGTGGGTGACGGTTCAGGTCCTCCCAATGATACCAAAATCTATGAATGCTCAAGTCCCTTATTTAAAATGGCATGGTATTTTCAAATGGCCTATGCACATCCTCTTGTATACTTTAAATTATCTCTAGATTACTTATAATGCCTAATATAATGTAAATATGTAAATAGTTGCTATACCATATTTAGAGAATAATGACAAAAGTAAAGTCTATAGTATAAATATAGTTTTTTTCCAAATTTTTAAGTCCAAGGTTGGTTGAATCCATGGGTGCAGAATCCACAAACATGGAGGGCCAGCTGTACCATGATTTGTTTACCTATTCGCCAGCTGATAGATATTTGAGTTGTTTACAGTCTTTGGCCATTATGAACATCAGTATGGAGTTCTTTGTGTCCACATGTCTTATTTCTCTAGAGTAAATATTAGGAGAGGGGTTGTTGAGCTTTATGGTAAGTATGTGTTTAACTTAGAAGGACCATCCATCTGTTTTCCAGAACAGGTAGCAAAAATCCGTTTCATGCTGCGTTCCCCTCAGCAGTGTGGGAGAGTTTCGTTTGCTCTACGTCATCAATACTCTACTTCTGTCTTGTGGATAGAGTCTTAACCTAGCTTTCCTGATCCCCGGTGGTTATCCCTTCCAGATTTGCTGTGACATGGCCCACTTCAGTCCTGTCTTCCTCTGATAGAACAATGATATATGTATGGGTCTGCTCATTGGTCATGTCCAGGATGAAGACAAGCTCCAGTGTCCAGATGAACATGCTGATGGATACAGAAAGATCACTGATTATGGTCTTGACTGGATCCTTGCTAGATTTTAAAGAACAAGTAAAAATGTTTTATGGTTCTCTTTCAGGTTATTTGATCATTCCATGGAAGGATTTAAAAACTGGGAGTTCATGACTATTCACTGCTGGGGAGAACGAGCTTCCGGTGACTGGATCCTTGAAGTTTATGATACTCCCTCTCAGTTGAGGAACTTCAAGACTCCAGGTGAGCACTCCCTTTCTGTAAGTCAGTCTACTGTGTAGAAGGGATGATGGTGTATATTTTGGCCAAAGGGTGTTTCATGCTCATATATAAGGATTATCTTTTTTCATGTGACTCATTTCATGTGTTCTTGAACTGTCTGCACATATTCCAGTTCTCAATATTACCATTTGAGAGGTAATAATTTAAGGAAAAGAAATAAAGAATAAATATTTAGATATAAGTCTAGAACAAAGCATGACAGCTTTTGATTGATGTTTCTAAATACATAATCCATACCTCTAACCAACTTCCCGTGTTTTTCTTTATAAACAAGCCAGCCTTGTCTTACCTGCAATAAGTTAGATCACATGGTTATAATTTCTTGATAAAAGACAACAGACTTCCTTAGTTATCTTTTTTTTTAAGTTTTCCCTAAATTTAATTTTCAGTTCAGATAAGACATTGAGTTTGGCCTATGCCAGCTAATCTGAGTGCCTCCAAAGACAAAGAAGATGGTATTCTGCCCTGTGTGAACCCAAGAGCCAAGGAAAAAGAAAACTTTGCTAATATGTAAAAAATCGTGGAAACTGGGGTATTAACAAAGGCCTTTTTAGGTGGTCTCAGACTATTGCTGCACATAGCCTCTTTCTCTCTTTATGCTAACATATGAAACTTGTTGATAATACAAAATCAAGGAAAATACAACATGGGATGAGAGGTTGTGATTGGGTTGCCCATGACAGAGTCCTGCAAAGCGCATGACCCAGCAATGAATGATCCGTTTGATAACTACCTGTCTTTCCACCCTCCCATAGACACCTCTACAACTCTCAGATAAAGTCTTCTCAATGGTCTGTCTGGTCCCATTTGCAGAAGAACCAGACCTGAAGGAAATTTTAGGACTGACCTCCAATTCTAGCCATCTACTGATTACAGAATAAATTAACCTGGACATTCTGTATTTATAAGATTGTGTACTATTCAGATACAGCTGGCTGCATTGGGGCAAAGGAGGCACACAGCAGAACACAGGAATCAAGAGTACATTTACAGACTTTTGCCTGCCAATCTGGGAAAGTTACTCACTGATCTTTTTTTTTTTTTTGAGTCAAGATCTCACTGAGTCATGTCACCCAGGCTGGAGTGCAGTGGCATGATCACAGCTCACTGCAGCCTCGAACTCCTGGGCCCAAGTGATCCTCTTGCCTCAACCTCCTGAGTAGCTGAGATCACAAGTGCACATGCCACCGCACCTGGCTAATTTTTTTGTAGAATCAAGGTCTTGCTATGTTGCCTAGGCTGGGCTCAAGTGATCCTCCTGCTTCGGCCTCTCAAAGTGCTGGGATTACAGGCGTAAGCCACTGCACCCGGCCCTGTTGAGAACTGTAAACAGTCAAGAAACTAAAAGTGCCTCTGCTGTTTATTATCACCAGACCCCAGCAATTCTACTCCCTATGGTAACAGCAGACTGCTCCTAAAGACATAATACTGGTTAACCAAGCATCGCATACAAGGGTCAGAGGCCATGAATATAAATCCTTCCTCCTCAAGTAGCATCCTAGGGCTTACTGTGATTATCTGCATTAAAAGCTCTCTACAGTAACTCAGATAGTCTAGAGTTATCTATTTCATAGCATTGGCTTCTCCCTATACAATTTACCTGTTCACATTAACAGCTGCCACCTGTAATCATTTTAGAGATGTTCTTTTTATACCAGGAGATACTCCAGTGCTATTACAGCCTGGAGTAAGGAGACTTTAATAGAAATAAATTAAAATTTAAAAGGAATATATTTGTGTATCTTTCCTTCATCCAACCTTTCACTTCAGGATTACTCACACCTTTGGTAAGGGACTTTCAGTTTCCTGTTTGTGTATCTATGTGCACATGCATGCATGTGTTTCAATCATTGTTTCCATGGCATAAGTCCTCTGATAGGTTTCTTCCTCTCTGGTTAATGAGGGATTTCATTAGTAGGCTAATAGAAATTCGGAAGTTCCTGGCTTCAAACAGTTTATATTTGTTTGTTGTTTCTTCCCACTTGTTTAGTATTACAATACATATTAAGAGTGTTTGGAGGCCAGGCGCGGTAGCTCAAGCCTATAATCCCAGCATTTTGGGAGACCAAGGCAAGAAGATTGCCTGAGCCCGCGGGTTCGAGACCAGCCTGGGCAACATGGTGAGACCTCATCTCTACCAGAAATTAAGAAATTAACTGGGCGTGGTAGCACGCGCCTGTAGTTTAGGCTACTTGGAAGGCTGAGGCAGAAGGATCACCTGAGCCCAACAGGTCGAAGCTGTGGTGGCTATGAGCAGTGAGCCACTGCACCCCAGCCCAGGTGACAGAGTGAGACTCCAACTCAAAAAAAAAAGAATGTCTGGGGGCATGGGTTGTTGTTCTTTTGCACATTAAATCTATAAATGCAGATTACAGTTATGTGTTAGCAAATAGGATAGATTTTTCTCATTTCTGTATTAGTATTTCTTCACAGCATGTTTCAGTATTATTTGCTGCAAAGTCTTCCATAGAATTCAGCAGACAGAATAAGTGGTAGAGGAGGGGGAAAAATGGTGGCCCAAATATGGCAGTGTTTGATGTGAATCAGAGCAGAGATTCTAAGGAAATAAGATTATATAACAAGGGAAATTTGAAGAGATGTATTGCCCAGCAAGGATACCCCTGGTGGGCTTATGATGTACTTCAGAAATGGCACAAAAGAAAATAATCAATTTTGAGACAGCACTCTCCTCAAAGCACTTATGGGGGTAACTTTTTAAATCCAAAATGATCTTAAATAAAATGAACCACGTTTTAAGGTGACTGATGATTGGGATAACTTAGAGTGTCCTTGTATTTTATGCTCCATTTGTACATTTGAGAGATGCCATAAGAAAAATGGGTTCCCTCTGCATTACTACTTAAAGACAATCAGATAGGTCATCAGCATCCAGAGGTCATTCACTTTTGGCACTACTTAACGTATGCTGCTTGGAAAGCTGAGTCTGAATAACACTCTGATTGTGAAAAGCATGGCCATTAACAAATGAGTCCAAAGAAAACCTGGTAAAGGGCACACTACATATAAACCAGTTGTACTTGGACCAATATAAAAGTCAGGAAAAAAGAGATGCATCACAGAATAGTTTCACTTTTAAACATCAGGTCCCTAAACTCCTACAAATGAGTAGGAGACAGTATTGTATTGTGATTTAATAACATAGGATTTGACCAGGTACAGTGGCTCACACTTTTAATCCCAGCACTTTGGAAGGCCAAGGCAGGAGGATCACTTGAGGATGGGCACCCAAGACCAGCTTGAGCAATATAGCAAGATCCCACCTCTACAATTAAAAGATAAATTAATAAAAAAACTTCTTTAAAAAAATACAGGATTTAGATTTGGGGTGAGTTTCAATATCTGTCTGTCCTCTTACTGCCCTGGGGGAAGTAGCCAACCTCTGTGCCTCTGTTTCCTCATCTGTATAGTATAAATACTAGTACCTACCTTAGGGCTGTTGTGAACATTGGAGGGGATAAAACTTAGAAAGCATTTAGTCCTGTGCTTGGCTTATATAATAAGCAATTGAACACATCAGGCATCAGTTTGATGGTGATGATAGATGCTAACAGATGAAGAAACCTGACTGCTGAGGGTCTTTACTCTCTAAGCTAGCCCCAGACCCTAACCCCTGACCTTTTCGGGATTCTATGCCTTCAGCTGAGGTGAGAAGGGTTCTAAGAGGGATCCTGCCTTTCCACCAGCATATTTCCATGGTTGTAAGGATTTTATCTTAATCACTTCTGCTTATGGTTGATTCCTTTTGTTGTGAATCTTATTAAGCTTAATGGCCTGGAGGCACTGTTAAAAAAAAAAACAAAAAAAACTTTGCATTGAACACTTTAGTTTTATGAAGCTAAGAAATAAATAAGAACTAACTGAAGCAAAATGTACCTGGTGAGTGATCCAGACACACAAGAGCTGAAACACCTGCCTCGGGTCTTTAGGCATCCTTGACCAGAAAAAATGCTCTTCATCAACATTGTTCAGTAGAACATTCTTCATGGATGGAAATATTCTGTATCTGTGCTGTCCAGTATAGTGGCCTCTAGTCTCAGATGGCTGTTGAGCACTTGAAATGTAGTTAGTGTCAAATGCAAATCAAAACCAAATTGCGATTACTACCTAACCCCAACAAGAATGGCTATCATTAATAAACAACAATAGATGCTGGCAAGGATGCGGAGAAAAAGGAATGCTTCTACACTGCTGGTGGGAATGCAAACTAGTGCAACCTCATCGGAAGATAGTGTTGACGATTTCTGAAAGAACTAGAAATTGACCTTCCATATAACCCATCAATCCCCCTATTGGGAATATACCCGGAAGAACTCAAGTCATTCTACCAAAAAGACAACCTGCACAAGCATGTTTATTGCAGCTTCAGTCACAATAGCAAAAACATGGAACCAACCATGCTGCCCACCGAAGCTAGGCTGTATGAAAAAATACACAATGGAATATTATGCAGCCATAAAGAAGGACAAACATATGGACTTCACAGCAACTTGGATGGATTTGGAGTCGATCATACTCAGTGATCTATCACAGAAACAAAGAATGTGAGAACCATAAGTTCTCACTCATAAGCAGACCTTGAACGATTATCATAATACTATAAGAAAGGGATTGGCAGTTGAGGGAAACTGCCAGGGGAGGGATGGGGGTGGGATTGGCAGTTGAGGGAAACTGCCAGGAGAGGGAGGGACACGCCTCATCAGTAAGGGTACCTACATAATGAACATTTGTACACCTAACCCTGAATTGTACCCCACGTCTTTAAAATTAAAAAAAATTTAGATTTTAAAAAAATGAAATGTAGTTAGTGTCACTGAGGAACTGAATTTTTAAATTTTAGTTCATTTAAATTTAAGTAGTCACTTGTGTCTAGTGGCTATCACATCAGACAGTACAGGTCTATAGGATAGTATAATAATGATGTATTCTTAATAAAGAATTGTTTTCATCTATTTATTACTAAGTCAAATAATGCAAAAAAAAAAAAAACACTTAAAGCTCAAATAAGACTTTTATACCTAGAACAATAAAACTTTCTGTAAAATTCTGGGATTCTCTTAAATTTCATAATCTGAAATTCATTCCTTGACCCTGCAATCTGAAGTGTGTTTGTTTCACAGTCTTTCCTATAAATGCTGATTAAATCAAAGCCTATCTTGTAGCGGGTGCTCAGCAAATATGTGGAATGTGAATTATTAAATTGTCCTTTCCGCAAATGGTAGAAAATAGGCATCTCTAGCCCAGTGTCTGTTCATATCAATCTGCTTCTCAGTTTCTTGAGTGGGAAAGATGTTACAAAGCTAAAGAGTGAATTGGTCATGCTGTGGTTTCATTATTATTTCTCCAGGTAAATTGAAAGAATGGTCTTTGGTCCTCTATGGTACTTCCGTGCAGCCATATTCACCAACGAATGAGTTTCCTAAAGTGGAACGTTTCCGCTACAGCAGAGTTGAAGACCCCACAGACGACTATGGTACAGAGGATTATGCAGGTGAGCTGGCTCCTGGTGGGACACAGCCTAAGGAAAGAAAGCTCATGCATCACCCACCACGTGGGATAACATAATATTACATTATAATATACCACCCATATTCTGATATATTTCCTTCCATCTTACTTTTATCCCCCCCAAATATTTGTGTTGGTATGTATTAATTGGTGTACTCAAATATTCACATATTCAAATACCCATAGGTGGTGTTTACAAAGTTAATAGTCCATACTATGATTACACTGTAATATATTTCGTCCATAATCTGGAAACATAGTTTGCTTAGAGTTTTACACTATTTTAAACAAGGTCTGGATAGATATCATTATTTATTTGTTTTTGTATATATCTTCGATTATCTCTTTAGAATAGAGTTCTGTTTTGAGATTTACTGTATCAAAGGGAATAATCAGCTTTATGGCTTGGAAACATTTTGTCACACTGTTATCTAGACAAGATGTACCAGTCTACACTGTGACCAGCTGTGTGTGTTTATTGCACTCATTCCTGCCAACATTAACTTGGAAGAAAAAAAGGTTAAAAAAGAAAGAAACAAACAAACAAACATTTCTGAATTTGTAATAGTTTAATAATAATTTGCTAATAAATTTAAGCATTTTTTCCTCTGTAGTTCTCTGAATTAATAAAACTGTCTTTTACTCATTTTTCAATTCAAGGTGGCAGTAATTCTCTATTTATTAGAACTCTGTATGTTATTGTCTCATATTGTCTCAATTTGCTAAAAACATATTCTTAGTTATCACTTGCTTCCCAAATGTAATTTTTGTTTTGTTTTTTCTTGTTTTAACAGAAAAAAAATCTAGGGTTTTAGAGTGGGGTTTATAGTTCCAGATGTAACGTGATTTTTTTTTCAGAAGTTTTATCCTTTAATGTCAGCTAAATAGTCACTTTTTTTTTTTTTTTTTTTTAGTAATCTTTTTTTTTTACATTTGGCCGTTAATTCAGCTGGAACTTATTTTGGCTTATGATATGTAGTGTGAATTGAAGCTCTGTCTTTAGTTATTTTCCAAACAGACTAACATCATTGGCTGAGTAACTGTCCCTTTTTTTATTACTTTAGGATGCATCTTTTATAACAATAGAGTAAGTGCTTATACCAGGGTCTCCTTGGGTCCACCTTTTCTGATTCATCAACCTAATAATTCTAAAAACAAATACCACCCACATTGTTTTATTTATTTGTATTTCATGATGTACTTTAATATTTGTAGAACATCTGCTTCCTATTTTCATAGCAATTATTGCCCTATTATACTTCCAGATGAATTGTAGAATGATTTTTTTAAAGTCTCCCTTTAAAAGCCCCATCTGATTTTATATGTAATCTCATGGGAAGAATTGTTTTTACAGTATACAATCTTTCCATCTGAAACATAGCCCATGTCCCATTTTACAGAAATATTTTCTTTTATGTAGTTTTCTTCTTGTTAGCATTACAAGTAAGTATTTGGAGTCCTGTTGCTCTTGTAGTGGACAATATTTCATGTTTTCTAACTAGTTTATGCTAGTGTGTAGGAAATCCATTGGTTGCTGCCTATTTATCTCATGTATGGCCACTTTGCTTAACTCTCACACTAAATTATACATTTTAGAATTGATTTTTTGGGAGGGTTCAGGTGCTATCACCATATCATCTACAAATTGGTTTTTGTCCATTTCATTATATTTCTGATTGCTGTCTTATTGCATTGGCTAGCACTTCTAGGAACATTCAGATCTTAAGAGATCTAATTCATAACCCATAATGCACAAAGCTTCTCCTAATGAAGAACTGTCTATAAACAGAAGTTTAATATACCTTCAGAAAAAATATGTTTTTCCTGCAGTTCTGAGATTTTTCTCTGGATACTGAGAATAAAAATACCTCATTAATCATCTGAATGAACTATCTTAAATATGCATGGAGTTCCTTTTATTCTAAGCAGGTAGTATTCTAGGATCAATAACACACTTGAGTAATTAAAACAAATGGAGTTAACTAAAGCTAGTTTGTGTTATATTTTGTCTTCTTTTGCTTTGAGCTTATAATATTACTATTTATAATTCGCAAACCATTGTGTCTTCCCCTATTCCAAACCATAAATGGAACATAATAGCAACCTATTATTCAAATTGGGTAATGTTTCCAATTTAATTTTTGGTAATGTTAAGATTTTAAACAACTATACATCGTTGTGATTTTTCTGATTACATCTCTAAAACATCAATGTTGGCACATGTAAGAGAACAAAGACAATTATTCTATTATTATTCTGCAACCTACAATGCTAAATTGTATCTGGGACAGTGTAAGGTTATAAAAGAAGCAGAATAGTATGTCAACTTGCTGAAGAGATCCCTTTGGACAAATATCAAAAATAAATGCTTTTAAATTCTAGAAATCATCTAGTGAAAATTTATTGCCATCCACAACTTCTCTTCTTTGGAGCTGTGATTTTCACCTTCATTTAGAAGTAAGCCTGATTAAGAGCACAGATAACATTATCATAAGCAGATCACTATCTCGTGTCATCAGATCCCAGGGACTGTGAGAGCACAGTTGGGCTGAACTTCAACCCTTACACAGCAGAGCTACCACTCACCTGATACACAGTGGTGGACAGCTAAAATGTCCCAAGGTGTACTGCCTATGGAATTTAATTTAGAGATCAGTTTAAAGCTTTGTGGAAAATAGAAATAAACAGTGCTGTCAAGTGACTCTTGCAATGAGTCAGAAGTATAGATTGAGAGGTCATCTCAAGTACATGAACTTGCTACCTCTAAGCAGGAAACCTAAACTAAGTACCAGGACCTGGTTGATCCCAACTCTCCTAGCCAAATGATATGGGCAGGTCACTAAAACTCTTGGAAACTCAGTTTTCTCATCAGTAAAATGAGGATCTTTGGCCACCAGATTTGTCTCTAAGTCATTCGATCCCAGTTCTATCATTTTTTGTTTCTGTGATTTAGTAATTATAGAAAATAATGACTAAAGGAAACCAAGGTTCAACATTAGGCCCTTTTGATTAAAATAAGTAGGGTTCGAAACACTTCTGGCATCCTTAACTTATTATTTGCACCTTTCATGTAATGTATTTATTGCTCGTTAAAATCATATGAATTTTCGGAGGGAAGATTTTGAAGATTATCAGATCAAATGTCCCAAAATATAGAGAATGAGGGAGAAAAGAGAATTAAAACTTCTTACTAGCCCAAGTCATTAGAAAACTTTTCATCAACTACAAATGAGCTCCATCTTTGGCATTTTTTTCTTTCTGTGCATTCTCTCCAGTTCTATACCAAAGATTATGTAGCAAGAAAGATTAGGAACCTGCATCCCAGGTCTGGAATTCTTTAAGCTTGTTTGAATTTTTTGAATTCATATGTCATTTTCTTTTGTTGACTTACCCATTGACCTTTGGGTAGGATATAATTTTAAATCTATTATCTGTGCCTGAAGTACCTGCTTTGTAATCCAAGACTAGTTGCTGATAAGCTTGTGCCAGATGCCACAATGATTGTTCTTGCTGACCACAGTATTTCAGAGGTATTCAGTGGCTTTAATGACATTGAACGAGATAGGCAATCTGGTCCAGACATTGAATAATCATTTTTCTTTCTCCTTTTGTCGACAACTTAACTTCTCAATTTTCTATGTATTCAGTTTTTTATTGTTGTACATATTTAATTTCAGTTGGTTTTTTCCAATTGCTACAGTTCATTTGAATTCTAAAATACTTATCTCCCACAAGGCAGCCATATGTGCTTTGAAGACCAGGCCCTGACCAGGATTTACATTCTTGATACTTAGGTAATCGAGGTTGCCTACGAGTCAAAAAAAAGAAAAGAAAAAGGAAAGCGCTCATCTGTAGATTTAAGGTCACATTGACCATTATTTCTCTCTCTTAAAGAAACTCTTAGCTGGCATGGTGGCTCATGCCTCCTAGCACATTGGGAGGCAGAGGGGAGAAGATTCCCTAAGCCCAAGACTTCAAGACCAGCCTGACAAGACCTCTTCTCTATAATAAACCAAATAATTAGCCAAGTGTGGCAGCACAGGCCTGAAGTTCTGGCTACTTGGAAGGCTGAGGCGAAAGGATCGCCTGAGTCCAACAGGTCGAGGCTGCAGTAGCCATGATAGTGCCCCTGCACGCCAGCCTGGGCTACAGAGTGAGACTCCAACTAAAGAAAAAAAGAAGCTCTCTCTGCATAAGGGAGGACAAAAGAAATGTATTTTGTACCAAATTTAAAATAAAACTGACCTCCTTAAAATCATTTTTTCAAGTGTTGTTCTAATCTCTTTTGCAAAGGTCCCTGTGACCCTGAGTGCAGTGAGGTTGGCTGTGACGGGCCGGGACCAGACCACTGCAATGACTGTTTGCACTACTACTACAAGCTGAAAAACAACACCAGGTAAGAGAGATGCCAAATCACATCCCTGCAGCCCATCCCAGGTGTCCCAGGGGTTCCTGCAGGGCCATAGCCACAAAGTGCACACAGGAAAGTGACTGCTGAGCCACCACTGCCTCCCTGGGTGACTCCAAATGGTGAAAACTATACTGAGTTACACAACACAAGAGGTGCATGCGTTTATGAAACTGCAAATGTCTTCTCTCACTTGGAGGGGTAGTGAGGAGGGACCTGCTAAGCACTTGCCCCTCCACGTCTTTCTTTGTCTTTTTTTCAAATTGAGAGGTGAGAATTTTATGTATTTCTGGTGCACAACATGACACTTTGATACACACATACACATATTTTAGAATGACTAAATCAAGCTATTAAATGCCTGCAATGCCTCACATACTTGCCTTTTCCTGGGGTGAGGACACTTGAAATCTACTCTCTTAGCAGTTTTCAAATACAGACTACATTGTTATGAACTCTAGTCACCATGTTGTACAGTAGACCTCTTGAACTTTTTCCTCCTGTCTAACTGAAGTTTGATGTCCTGTCCCACTGACACTTCATGTCATGACTACATTCATGCTTCATGAAAATGCCAGTGCAGGCCAGGCTCGGTGGCTCAGCCTGTAATCCCAGCACTTTGGGAGGCCGAGGCGAGTGGATTGCCTGAGCCCGCAGGTTCGAGACCCATCTGGGCAACTTGACAAGACCTCATCTCTACAATAAATCAAAAATGAGCCGGGCGTGGTAGTGCACGCCTGTAGTTCCAGCTCCGTGGAAGGCTGAGGCAGAAGGATCGCTGGAGCCCAGCAAGTCGAGGCTGTGGTGGCCGGGAGCATGCTACTGCACTCCAATCTGGGCAACAGAGTGAGACTCCAACTCAAAAAAGAAAATGCCAGTGCACAGGCCAGACATGCTTTTCCACACTCCCCAGCACACAGGATATCAGTGTGGCAAAGGGGCAGATCCTTGCTGTTCTCGTCGTTCAACTCTGAGCACCAAGGTGGACCTCATGCCTCTTAGCCCCTGGCCTCTGGCAAGAGTTGTGCAGATAAGTTTCCATGGGGCCGAGCAGGGAACGGTGACTTTCCCAGTCAGAGTCCATCCTGTCCATGCAGGGTCTTCTTCCTTCAGGCAAAATTCATCGTGGGGAGCTGCCCTCCATACTTCAGTCACCCAGACAGACCCAGACATCTTCGAATTCCTGTTTTAAATCTGTGCTGGGATTTGAATTCCTTAAGGGAATGACCTTTGGCTGTCTCGGTGCCTCTGTTATCTCCTGTACGTAGCAAAATGCCTGACTTTTAATTGGTGCTCAGTAAATATTTGTTGACTGAATAAATAAATTCCGCTCTGTCCTTCCTTTGCAGACACACAGGGAAGTTATTTTTAAAAGAAGTTTTCTTATAAGCAACATAAATGTAAATATATTTATGTTAATTTAGACAGTAGCTTACAGCCATCACGTGCACCTATATATGCACATATATACACAGGATCATTATGTCAAACAATCCACGAAAACAGAAGTAACACCTTATTAAAGTAACTTTTTGCATAAAGTCATAGTTCCTGCATATTTTCCTCTGATTCACCACCACAACCTTCCTCTTTCTAATCACCATCCCTTTTCGAGAGTTAGATGCAAACTAGGAGATGTTTGCAACACGAGACATCTTCCTTGGTGGCCTTGGTGTTGGGTAACTGCATTGCCACTTCAGCATGTGTTGCAAGTGGAAGCTTTGTTTTGTTTTGTTTTTTGTGTCGGAGTCTCACTCCCTTCCTCAGTGTGTAGTGCAGTGGTATGATCACAGCTCACCACAGCCTAGACCTCCTGAACTCAGGCTATCCTCCTGCCTCAGCCTCCCTAGTAGCTGGGACTACAGGCGTGTGCCACCACAACTAGCTATTTTTTTATTTTTTTATTTTGGAGAAACAAATTCTTACTGTATTGCCCAGGCTGGACTCAGACTCCTGGCCTCAAGCAGTCCTCCCAAAGTGCCTGGGTCTCCCAAAATGCTGGGGTTATAGGTGTGAGCTGCCATGCCCTTCCCAGGAGGAAATTTTAACAAACAGAATTGGGTCTGTGGGTGTCCTGGTTTAAAACTGATTTTGAAGCGGATTTCAGCTGTTTGCTCAGCGCCTCCTAGGGAACACAGAGGACTGAGTTGCTAGTGACACTGCCTTCTTTCCTATCTTTCCTCGACGCAGGATTTGTGTCTCCAGCTGCCCCCCTGGCCACTACCACGCTGACAAGAAGCGGTGCAGGAAGTGTGCCCCCAACTGTGAGTCCTGCTTTGGGAGCCATGGTGACCAGTGCCTGTCCTGTAAATACGGATACTTCCTGAATGAAGAAACCAACAGCTGTGTTACTCACTGCCCTGATGGGTCATATCAGGACGCCAGTGAGTTCACTTCAAATATTTGGGTTTTAGAGAAGAAATGTGGGGTTTTCACTTGAGTGATCTTTTGAGGCAGAGTCCTACTTTACGAAATCTGGGCTTTGCCTCACATCAGACAGGATTGAGTTCATTTATTTTAAGAGACCAGTTTAGAAGCTTTATGTAAAAATGCTTGTAACTAACTTTGTCAGGGGATCCTGAAGGCCATCCCCAGGTTCAGTGAGGAGCTAGGTGTATTCACGAGGCTCAGGGTATAGCCGTACTCGTGAACTCACAGTTATGATTTATTATAGCAAAAGGGTACAAAGTAGAATCAGCAAAGGGGAAAGGTGTGTGAGACAAAGTCCAGAGGAAGCCAGGCACAAGCTTCCACAAGTCCCCTCTCAAGGGAGTCACACAGGACGTGCTTAATGCTTCCTACAACACTTTGTGACAACATGCGTGAAATGTCTACCATGGTACCTCATTAGGGACTCGGTGTCCAGGGTTGTTCCTGGAGGCTGGTCGGGCCTGACACATACCAAAATTCCAGACTCCTGGAAGGAAAGCAGGTGTTCACCATAAACCATGTTGTTTATACAAACAGTTTAAGCATGAGCCACTCTTACCGGGGTGGTGGGAACCGTTCCAAAATCCAAGTTCCCAGATGCCAGCCAAGGGCCAGGCTTATAAGCAGACTTCCAAGAGACAGTGGCCAGGCCCACTGTTTTCTGCACAGTGGCCAAAGAGGCACCAGACCTGGATGGCATCGCAATATACATTCTTAACAGTTCAAAAAGCATGACTTTCTTATAACTGTAGAATGAACATGTGTCAAAGACTTATTTAATCCATCAGTGAGGGAATTTGCAAGGTGACAAATGGGTTCAAAGATGGTCAGGTAGTCCACCAAGAAAGGCAAAATGCAGTTATTTTGCTGAGTTGGAAACAAAATTGAATAATTTTCTACATAGCAATATGACTAGAATGGGGGGGTGCGTTTTCTAATAAACAGAACTTATTTACAGCTTTACCAAAGAAATTTTGGTCCCCGGCCATCCTTCATTAAAAGACAAAGGTATGTTGTCCTAGAGAACTAAATAATCTTAGAGCAGATTCATTAGACAGTGCTCCAGAAAGACTCTCCAATGGGCTGTAGTTATCTTAACTCTTTCCAGATGATTTGTCCTAACAACGATGTCACACCATGGTATATGATGACCCCAAAATTTCATGGTGTTGTGCAACCTAAGAAAAAGGAAACTCAAATTTAAAGGAATAAGAATTGTTTACAATGAAATCAGACAAGAGGTCTGAAGTAGATACTCTTGCTTCTTAAGATGTAAATTCTCTCTTGCTTCAGAGGCAGGCATTATAGGGCCTCTCAAGTTACACTTTACAGCAATGGGTAGAGACTCTCCTATAGTTCTTTTTTTTTTTTTTGAGTTGGAGTCTCACTCTGTCGCCCAGACTGGAGTGCAGTGGCCGCTCCCGGCCACCGCAGCCTCGACCTGCTGGGCTCTGGCGATCCTTCCACCTCAACCTTCCGAGTAGACGGAATTACAGGCGCGGGCTACCACGCCTGGCTGATTTTTGATTTATTGTAGAGATGAGGTCTCGCCAAGCTGCCCAGGCGGGTCTCGAACCCGCAGGCTCAGGCAATCCACTCACCTCAGCCTCCCAAAGGCGCAGATTACAGGCTGAGCCACCAAGCCCGGCTCCCTATAGTTCTTATTTGCCCCAAAGTTTAGAACATGAACCTTGACTTGGAGAAAGAAGAAATTGGGAGACAGGAGGGGAGCCACAGAAATAAGCAATATTCTTTGGGAGGAAAAAAAAATCAAAATACTATCAAAAAGGCTGAGCCTTGGGAAAGAAATTGGGTTCTAGAATGCTGTATAACAGGATCTTGGTAATTGAGAGAGTCAGTTCTGTTTCCAGAACCTAATTAAGGAAGGCTAGCCGGGCTCGGTGGCTCAGCCTATAATCCCGCGCCTTTAGGAGGCTGAGGTGAGTGGATTGCCTGAGTTATAATTTTATAATGTTATCATTTCATGGCAGTTACACGTGGTCTCCCTGTGTCACTGAGAATACTGGACATGGTATAGAATATGAACTCAGATGACCTGGATCTACCTACCCCTCAGAGCAAGTCCTAAGTGGATCCACCTACCCCTCAGAGCAAATCCTAAGTCTTCAGTGAAATTTTTTCTATCAAATCACTCTATTTCAGGCCGGGCGTAGTGGCTCACATTTCCCAGCACTTTGGGAAGCCGAGGTGAGAGGATTGCCTGAGCCCATGGGTTCAAGACCACCAGCCTGGGCAACTTGGCGAGACCTCATCTCTACAGTAAATCGGAAAAAAATTAGCCGGGTGTGGCAGCACATACCTGTACTCTCAGCTACTTCGAAGACTGAAATAGAAGGATCACTTGAGCCCAGCAGGTCGAGGCTGCAGTGGCCATGTGTGTGCTACTGCACTGTAACCTGGGTAACAGAGTAAGATTTCGACTCAAAAAAAAAAAAATCACTCTGTCTTATCATAGAACAACCATGAATGTGCCCTTTTTTTCCCCAATGTAGACCTGGTATTAGTCAGGCAAGCCAGTATTTAGAGTATTATTTGTTCAGATGATACATTTCTATTCTCTAAAATGTAGATATTATCTGAAATATAGTAATATTTGTATCTATTTCACACCAGCTATACAGTATAAGACACTATTTGGGACAAGACAAGAAATAAGCAATCCTTACCTTGCAATCTCAAAGGGAGGTTCCCTCTTCAGTGCGGTTCATCAGAGCATCCTAAATGTTTGCATGGGATCTCCAGCCCCGTCCCTCAGCCTCCACCATTGCTTGTCAGTTCTCACAGTGTGGTCCCGGCTTCATAAGCGGGATTTTCATTGTTGGCAGTTGGGAAACCTTGCTTGGGAGAAAGGATGGGAAGAAGAGGAGAAAAGTCTATCAACTCTTCAACTAAGAATTGATTACTAGCCGGGCTCGGTGGCTCAGCCTGTAATCCCAGTGCTTTGGGAGGCTGAGGTGAGTGGATTGCCTGAGCCCGCCTGTTTGAGACCCGCCTGGGCAACTTGGCGAGACCTCATCTCTACAATAAATCAAAAAATTAGCCGGGCATGGTAGCGCGCGCCTGTAGTTCCAGCTACTTGGAAGGCTAAGGCGGAAGGATCGCCGGAGCCCAGCAGGTCGAGGCTGCGGTGGCCGGGAGCGGCCACTGCACTCCAGTCTGGGCGACTGAGTGAGGCTCCAACTCAAAAAAATAAAAGAATTGACTACTCTGTATTCTCCCATCTGCAAAATGGCAGAGAAGTCTAAGGTGTTTCCTCGTGTGACATTTCCTGCCTGTAAGTGGTTTGCTTAGAAGTTATCACAAATGATGGTTCTGGGGTCTTCCTGCAATCTTCTACTCAAGGCCATGGGTGTAACAGCATTCCTTAGCAATCAGTAGAATATCTCCACGTACTTTCTGTGGAATCCAATTGACAGATTGATTTATAACTTTCTTTTTTTTTTTTTTAACAGAAAAAAATCTTTGCCGGAAATGCAGTGAAAACTGCAAGACATGTACTGAATTCCATAATTGTACCGAATGTAGGGATGGGTTAAGGTAAGAGAGGGAACGATTTTATCACATAACACAGCTCAAGGAGCTTCTCAATGTAGAAAGTAAAAAAAAAAAATAGAAATAGCCCTCTTATGATCTCCCCTTGATTTGACTTCTTTCAAGCGCTTGATTGCTATTTGCATTGTCTCTGTCTACCATTATATGTGAAAAATAGAATGCCATTGTGGCTAAAGACAGGTTATAAACCAAATAAATTCTCTTTAGAAAAGATGTCTCAGATACAAGTCAATAAAAATGACCATTAAAGAGGCATTCTTCATGCTTTTTTGACCTGCTTTGTGCCGGTCAAGGATTACTGTGCAGGTAATACCCATGAATTATATTTAATCCCCTGATTCATTCCTTGTACAGTTGGAAATTATTCCCTTATCTTTATTATTTCTCTCCACATACCCAATCATTCTCTTATCTTAAGTACCTCAGGCTTGGTTCCATTATGCCTTGGTGTGCACATAGATATAACACCAGGAGGTATTTTCCATGAATGAATGACTTACTCATTGCTATGGCTGGATAGTTCATAAACTTATAGGAGAACAGCATGCAGCTGAAAGTAGAGAAGGTCAGACCATTCTAAGTTGAGTAAGGAGTTAGACTGGCTTTGCATAGAGTTACAATTCCTCTGCACTGGATCCCTTGTAAGTATTGATCGTATCTTTATTTCCACATTTGATCAGAGGTAAGATAGGCAAGATCCAGAGAGTTTCCAGACAGGTACTTTATTCACACTGATCATTCTTGGAATATCATTTTCATTTAGGTCTATTCGAATATCTATTACGTTATTTCTCTTTTTCCCTCATAAATACATTGAGTGTTTGTTTGCTTAGCAATATTTATCTCAAGACTTCACTCCTGATGAGTAAGTCTACTGAGCTTCCTAATTTCTTCTTGGAGAAGGAGCAGAGTGGTGTAAGAAAAAGAAGGAATGTATCGGTGGCTCAGCCTGTAATCCCGCGCTTTGGGAGGCTGAGGTGAGTGGATTGCCTGAGCTCGCAGGTTCGAGACCTGCCTGGGCAACTTGGCGAGACCTCATCTCTACAATAAATCAAAAATAGCCGGGCCCTGGTAGCGTGCACCTGTAGTT